GTAAGAATTTACATCTCTCAAGTCTAATATTGGACGTATTCCTCCTCCTTTCTTTGAAATCAGGAAATATCTTGAGTAAAAGCACAGCCTATGTTCCGCTGGCATTAATGGAGAAATAGCTCCTTTAGATAACAGAGTGTTAATCTCTTCCTGTAGCAAAGGAGAGGGAGTTGTCACCTTAACTCTACCAACTGGTGGTAGTTCCTTAAACTCAATAAAATAACCTTTCCTAATAATTTTTAAAACCCATTGGTCAGTAGTTATCTCAGACCAGATGCCATAATAAGGAGCTAAGCGGTCTTCAAAAAAAGGATGTACTTTGTTACGCACTTCCTTACTTAACAGTACCAAACAGGAATTATGATTAACTGTAATAACATTCTTAACTTTAACATATGGATCGACTCCCACAATAGGGAGACCTTTCAAAGAACCCATCACTTGGGATCCGCTATCAAAAACGCTGTTTTGGGCCACCTGGTCGGCTAGGCTTATTTTGATATGGCAGAAAACGATTCTTTGTCCCATAGAACTGTTTCCGTTGTCCAAAGGATCTGTTATATTGCGATGACTGCTGCCTTTGCTGTGTGGTCATATAGTTACCGAAGTTTCTCTTGTAGTAAGGCGAAGAATTCTGCCATCTTGGTTTCTGTTGATAATTATTTTGCTTCGGGAAGCCATAAACTTGGATGGTCTTTTTCATTTCTTGATTGTGTTTAAGTCTATCATCGGTAACTGGATTGAACAAACCATCCTGATGCATAGGAAGGTCCTCTGCTAGTAATCTACCTTCTTCAGATAGATCCGAAGCCCTTAGCCAAGCATGACGCCTAGCTGATGTGGCAATGGCAAACATCTTGCCAGCCGATTCTGCTAAATGTTTAGCAAAGTCTTTCTGGTACCTTGAGACAATGAGGGCTTCTTTGCTAAATGCAATCGGTAAACGTTGCTCATCCTCTGGGAGGATAGTAATGTAAGGTGTCATTCTGTTCCATAAATAAGTTTGATAGGCACTCAAATAAGTAGCGTAATGGGCCATCCTCGCAATGAGGCCAGCCGCCATGTGCATCTTCTTCCCCATGATGTCAATTTTCTTGCCTTCTTTATCTGCCGGGGCTGATGCTGTCTTCCTGGGTTTTTTACCCTGACCCACTTCTGCAATCACTGTGTTGGGTCTAAATGGACGCACCAGCCATTCAGCATTCGCTAAGTCAACCCTATACAAACTGTCCACCCTCCTAGGCATCGCTGGTGCCATTGCTGGGGAACCTTCAGGCACCTTTGTTAACTTGAGTAAATATGGCAAAGTTGGGAGCGTAGTGCTAACAGGAGATTCCTGCTGCTCAGCCGGAAACATAGGGTCTTCTACAGTATCTTGTGGCTTAGGTGCTGGTAAATCCAAAGCCTTAATCATCCTGGCCAACATGGCGTTAAATTTTTTGAATTCTTCAGCATTAGATTTGTCTAGGACTGCTTCCTTCGGTTCCTTTAGAATGAATGCATTTTCATCAGAAGAATCAGATGGGTCTATTACAGATTCTCGTTGAAAGCAAGGTGTAGAAGGACCCTCTAATGGGTCCTCTTCCTGGCTCATGACATGATCCAGATTATTCCCCTTGTGGGAATCACTCGGTTGGTAATGACAAGGGACAGGACCTGCACAGTAAACCATCTGCCCTTGAGGAGTCATCTGCCAAAAACCTCCCTGTGGGGGCATAGGACCACATTGGTTATTCTGTCCATTCAGCCACTTCGCAGGAACTTGAGGCTTGGCTGTGCTGTTCCTTCCTCTAGTCCTTTTCTTCCCCTTCTTTGGAGAAGGGGAGGAGCTAGAGGATGAGCTTCTCCTCCTCTTCTTCTTCCCTTTTTTATGAGCAGGGGAGAAGCTAGAGGAAGAATCCCTCTTGGCTTTCTTCTTCCCTCTTCTCGGAGCGGGGGAGGAGCTAGAGGAGGAGTCAGAGGAGGGGCTTGAAGAGCTCCTTGATACGGAGCGTCGTCGACGTCGACGCTTTCCCTTCGCTCGGGATGGAGGGCGGTCCCTTCGACGAGGGAGAGGCTCCATTGCCGATCCCGACTGAAGAAGAGTCTGCTTAGGAGCCAAAGCATCCATTAAGGTTTGTGCCTCATTAATAGCTTTTGATAGCGCAGGCGGAGTTGTTGAGGACTCAGAAATCTCCTCCTCAGTCAAACAATCCCCTCTTTTTCGTTCCGTGGGTTGTTTAGGGGTCACCCCCTCACCCACTAATTGATTGTTCCTCTCCGTGGGTTGTTTAGGGGTCACCCCCTCGCCCACTGACTGATCCTCCTTTTTTAAAGGGGAGCCTTTAGCCGCCTGAATTTGCGGCTTCATTTGCTGCGCCATCTTTTTCTCCTTGTTAACGGAGATAAGCGGTTTGATCCTTTTCTTCTTCTTAATGAGAAGCTCGTCAGCGTGGGCGCCTTTTGGACGCGTCGTAGACTGTAGTTTTTTATTTATCTTTTGTTTTGGCGTTTCCACGTCCTCATTTTGAATTGAGGGAAGCAAGGCTTGCTCGTAAAGAGCAGCTTTAAGCCTTATTTCCCTATTCTTTTTGGTTTGTGGCGTAAACGCCATACAAATCTCACATGCCTGAGAGAGATGGGCCTCTCCCAGGCAGCCCACGCATTCCGTGTGGGCATCGTTATCAGGAATTTTATTCGGGCATAAAGCACACTTCTTAAAAGAGGTAGTCATCTTTATCTAAGATATTGCTTGAAGCGCCGTTGCTGCCTTTTGAGGCGGATTTAAAGAACTGGCCGGTAGCCCCGCGGCAGGGCTATTTATAAGGGGGAGAGAAAGGGGCGGGGCTTTTCTAACGGTCAGTTAGTAGCTTGGGAATGTCCGTTGCTGGCCTGCGCGAGCGCAGGGAATACCATTTGTGTGAATGACAGGCCTACCACGCGGGGAAACCTGAAGTTACAACATGACATGTATAAAAAAGGACTGCTTACTTTGAAAGGTCCCCCCCCCCCCCCAACAATTCTGTTAATGAGAATAGAAGCAACTAGAGATATTGAGGTTTACAGGTAATACAGCCCAACACTGATTCTGTTTTGAGAGGTCTCCCACACAGGACATTGCTCTGTCTACAAGTGCAGATTAATGTGTAACCCAGTGCCTTTTCTGCAGTCCTCATTTCTTTCCTAAAGCCTGCCTTTAGGAAATGTGGGGAGAAAGCAAGATAATAAATGGAAGCCAAGCAATATGGGTGCATCTCTACACTAGAATGAATACAATTTGAAACCATTTCAACTGCCATGACTCAATGCCATGGAATCATTGGTTGTGGTTTTACAAAGGCTTGAGCCTTCTCTATGAAAGGATGCTTGTGCCTCGCCAAAACACAACTCCCAAGATTCCCTATAGCATTGAGCCATGGCAGTTAAAGTGCTGTCAAACTGCATTAATACTGCAATGTAGATTCAGTGATAGACTTCCTATTAATATTCTTTAAAGGGGCCCCCGGTAGCGCAATGGGTTAAACCCTTGTGGTGGCAGGACTGCTAACCGAAAGGTCAGCAGTTCGAATCCAGGGAGCAGGGTGAGCTCCCATCTGTCAGCTCCTGCTTCTCATGCATGGAAATGAGAGAAGCCTCCCACAGAATGGTATTTTATTTATTTATTTATTTATCGTGTCATCTGCAACCAGAAAATTGTATTACATTTCTAACAGAACAAAACAAACAAACAGATAAAAAAAAACACAAAATTTTGCAAACTTGGTAGCTGATTAAATGTCCTTTGACCAGTATCTGGCCACTTGGAGTGCCTCTGGTGTTGCCGCAAGAAGGTCCTCCATCGTGCATGTGGCAGGGCTCAGGTTGCATTGCAGCAGGAGGTCAGTGGTTTGCTCTTCTCCACACTCGCATGTCGTGGATTCCACTTTGTAGCCCCATTTCTTAAGATTGGCTCTGCATCTCGTGGTGCCAGAGCGCAGTCTGTTCAGCGCCTTCCAAGTTGCCCAGTCTTCTGTGTGCCCAGGGGGGAGTCTCTCATCTGGTATCACCCATGGATTGAGGTGCTGGGTTTGGGCCTGCCACTTTTGGACTCTCGCTTGCTGAGGTGTTCCAGCGAGTGTCTCTGTAGATCTAAGAAAACTATGTCTTGATTTAAGTCGTTGACGTGCTGGCTGATACCCAAACAGGGGATGAGCTGGAGATGTCTCTGCCTTGGTCCTTTCACTATTGGCTGCTACTTCCCGGCGTATGTCAGGTGGTGCAGTGTAAGACATCCCGTGATAATGCGGCATGTCTCATTAAGAGCCACATCCACTGTTTTAGTATGGTGAGATGTGTTCCACACTGGGCATGCATACTCAGCAGCAGAGTAGCATAGCGCAAGGGCAGATGTCTTCACTGTGTCTGGTTGTGATCCCCAGGTTGTGCCAGTCAGCTTTCGTATGATATTGTTTCTAGCGCCCACTTTTTGCTTGATGTTCAGGCAGTGCTTCTTGTAGGTCAGAGCTCGGTCCAGAGTGACTCCCAGGTATTTGGGTGTGCTGCAATGCTCCAGTGGGATTCCTTCCCAGGTGATCCTCAGAGCTCGGGATGCTTGTCTGGTCTTAAGGTGAAACGCACATGTCTGTGTTTTAGATGGATTAGGGATCAGCTGGTTTTCCCTGTAATAGGCAGTAAGAGCACCTAGAGATTCAGAGAGCTTCTGTTCAACCATCTCAAAGCTCCCTGCTTGAGCAGTAATGGCACGATCATCAGCATAGATGAAACTCTCTGTCCCTTCTGGCAGTGGCTGGTCATTTGTGTAGATGTTGAACATGGATGGAGCAAGCACGCTCCACTGAGGCAGGCCGTTCTTCTGTTTCCACCATCTGCTCCTCTGGCCCTGAAAGGGGGGGGGGCTCGATTCATGCAAATCAATGATCCGAGTACAACTTTTCTCCTTTCAAACTCGGGGTTGGAATCTTTTCGGAACTAATATCGCTTGGCTTTCCGAACGGAGGGACCTTTTTCGCCCACGCACCGCCAGAAACGGAAGTCCCTCCCAGACTGGGTCTGTGCTTACACAGCGTCCCTAACGAGAAAGAAGCGGGATGGAAGCTGGAGAGGAAGAACCTCTGAAGCCGTTTCCCCATGGTGAGTGTCTCCGTGTAGCATTGCTTCGTGGATCTAGGAGGGAGGGAGGGAATGAGTGTTACACTTAAAAGGGACCTATCCTTTCCAAAGAAAACACCCTGAGCTGGCTGTCTCTTGTGTTTGTGTGGCTGAGCCTTCCAGACGACTTGAGGGAACCCCATGCATTTCAGAGGGTTTTCTTAGGCAAAGAATGCTCAGAGGTGGTTGGGCCAGATCTTCTGAAATATAATCATTTCTCCATCCTTTTATTATTTATTATTATTATAGTTAGGCCAAAACAACAACAACAAAAACAGTTGTTTGGATTGCTGTGAGTTTTCCAGGCTGCCTGGCCATGTTCCAGAAGCATTATCTCCTGACGTTTCACCTGCATCTATGGCAGGCATCCTCAGAGATTGTCTGTTGGAAACTAGAGTTCATAATCGCATTTCCATCTACGAACCCACACGCTCACTTCGGTCATCTGGAGAGGCCCTGCTCGTGATCCCACCTGCGTCGCAAGCGCGCTTGGTGGGGACGCGGGACAGGGCCTTCTCCGTGGTGGCCCCCAGACTCTGGAACACCCTCCCCAAAGACCTTAGACAGGCCCCCACACTGGCAGTCTTCAGAAAGAACTTGAAGACTTGGCTTTTCCGATGCGCCTTCCCAGATTAGGAAATCTCCACTACCAAGTCCCATAAGCACCTTATCAGAACCAATGACTGCTGCACATCGCACTTGCCCTTGAAGCCTCATATACACCTCCTGACACATCAGCACTTTTAATTCTTGTACCCGTTACTCTGGCCTGGCCCAGTTCTTATTGTGTTTTAGTGTATTGCTTTTGCCTGTTGTTTATTTGCTTTATCCTGTTTTTAATTGTTTGATTTGCCTAGTTTGTATTGCTATGTTGTGTGTTGAGGCCTCGGCCTGTGTAAGCCGCATCGAATCCTTCGGGAGATGCTAGCGGGGTACAAATAAAGTTTAATAATAATAATAATAATAATAATAATAATAATAATAATAATAATGACAGATGGCCATCCAGCCTCTGTTTAAAAGCTTCCAAAGAAGGAGCCTCCACCACACTCCGGGGCAGAGAGTTCCACTGCTGAACGGCTCTCACAGTCAGGAAGTTCTTCCTCATGTTCAGGTGGAATCTCCTCTCTTGTAGTTTGAAGCCATTGTTCCGCGTCCTAGTCTCCAAGGAAGCAGAAAACAAGCTTGCTCCCTCCTCCCTGTGGCTTCCTCTCACATATTTATACATGGCTATCATGTCTCCTCTTAGCCTTCTCTTCTTCAGGCTAAACATGCCCAGCTCCTTAAGCCGCTCCTCATAGGGCTTGTTCTCCAGACCCTTGATCATTTTAGTCGCCCTCTTTGGGTTTCTTTGGGTTTCTGTGAATTTTCCAGTCTGTATAATTATTATAATAATTAGACCAAACAACAACAACAACAAAACAGTTCTTTGGGTTGTTGTGAGTTTTCCAGGCTGAATAATAATAATAATAATGATAATAATAATAATAATAATAATAATAATAATAATGTTTTCTGGGCTATATAATTATTATAATAATTAGGCAATTATTATAATTATTATAATAATTAGGCCAAACAACAACAAAACAGATATTTGGGTTTCTGAGAGTTTTCCGGGCTTAATAATAATAATAATAATAATGTCGAAGGCTTTCATGGCTGGAATCACTAAGTTCTTGTGGGTTTTTTCGGGCTATATGGCCATGTTCTAGAGGCATTTCTCCTGACGTTTCGCCTGCATCTATGGCAAGCATCCTCAGAGGTGAGGTCAGAAACGTCAGGAGAAATGCCTCTAGAACATGGCCATATAGCCCGAAAAAACCCACAAGAACTGAATAATAATAATTATTATTATTATTAGTTTTCCAGGCTGTATTATTATAATAATAATTTGACCAAACAACAACAACAAAACAGTTCTTTGGGTTGCTGTGAGTATTCTGGGCTGTGTGGCCATGTTCCAGTAGCATTCTCTCCTGACGCTTTGCCCACACCTATGGCAGGCATCCTCAGAGATTGTCTGTTGGAAACTAGGTTTCATATATCTATGGAATGTCCGGGGTGAGAGAAAGAACTCTTGTCTGTTGGAGGCAAGTGTGAATGTTTCAATTGGATACCCTGATTAGTATTTAATGGCCTAGCAGTTTCAAGGCTTGGCTTCTTACTGCCTATCTGACATTCCATATATATATACCTATACGAACTTATCTCTTTCTACGTCCCACCTAGGAATTTAAGATCTCCTGCTCTCGGCCCCGCCCCTGTCACAAATGCGGTTGGCTGGGACAAGTGACAGGGCCTTCTCGGTAGTGGCCCCCTCCTGTGGAATTCATGCCCTGGGGAACTTTGGTCATCTTCATCCCTCCTCCCCTTTAGAAGGAACTTAAAAACGTGGATGTAGACCAGGCCTTTGGGTAATCTTGCAGACTTGACAAGGACAATAACGACAATAGCTATGGAAACAGATTATGGACAAGCTGAATGGAGTCAGCTTGTCCATTACAGGGCGAGACAATGGCCACCAGACTGGCTTTCTTTTCTAGTAGATTTTATTGTATTAATTAAATGTTTTTAACTATTTATAATTACTGTTTTTGTTATGTAATTTATTGTGTTTAATTGTAGGTATCGAATATGTGCCGGCTGGAAGCCGCCCTGAGTCCCCTCCAGGGAGTTGAGAAGGGCGGGGTAAAAATAGCCAAAATAAAAATAAACAAACAAATATAAACTCCATTTTCCTAGTTTCCAACAGACCTCACAATCTCTGAGGATGCCTGCCATAGATGCAGGCGAAATGTCAGGAGATAATACTTGAACATGTCCAGACAGCCTGGAAAACTCACAGCAACTCAATGATTTCAGTTAAAAAAGCCTTCGACAATACAGTCATTTCTATAATACAGCCTCCAGTATTTCTTCGCAGTCTTTCTGGGCTTTTGTGGAAGTTTCTTTTTTAACTAGGGGATTCTGGGAATGACAATTCAAAGAATTATTATTATTATTATTATTATTATTATTATTATTTGAAACACAACAAGATTAGTACACAGTAAACAAGTTCACTATGTTGGCTGTTGCATTAGATCACACGCTGGACACTTCCCCAGTGTCTAGGACTGTGTTATGTGTCGGCAAATAATGCGTGCAGATCCAAGAAGAGTGTCCTTTTGCAGCTAACAGGCCAAGGTCTTTAGGCACTTCACCCAGTGTGCCGATCACCACTGGGACCACCTTGACTGGCTTGTCTTTGCAGTTTGATCTTTAAATTCTCATGTCGTGTCAGCTTTTCCAGTTGCTTCTCTTTAACCCTGCTGTTGTCCGGGATTGCAACATTGACTATCCATACTTGGTTTTTTAAACATGATTGTGAGGTCAGGAGTATTGTGCTCGTATTATTATCTCAAACTGTTGGTTTGTTTTCAATTGATTCTGAGTTAAGTCTTATCCATTTCTTTTGTTCTGTTGTGCTATATTATTCAGCCTTTTGGAATAGGAATATTTGAAATTTCTATATCTTTCTAGGTGTTGACTCCATGAACAATGTAGAACAAGGGGAACCAGATAAACCTCCAACAACAGAGAGATTGGCAAGTTGTCTTCTGGACAAAACTGAGACGGAAAAGTTGCTGTGCTCTGCAGAAGAGACAATGGAAGTCCCAGGTTCCACAGACTGCTGTCCAAAGAGCAATGAGGATCAGGATGGGTCTCTTCCAGTGTCCCATGTGAATGAATACAAAGCAGTTATGCCAGGCTTTGGGACAACTATCAGCCCTCCAGTTTATCACTGGGGCGAAGAAATGTTGGAAGACTCTGATCTGCATAATTGTAACTTGAGCAAGACTGGAGCATCTCAAACACCACATTTATGGGGAGAATATTTGGATAATCCAGGTTCAAAACTTGCCTCTGGCCAGTGCATTCCCACCAATGGATCACTTGTGTTAAGGACTGGGAGCAACAAGAGTGGGACCAATGAACCATCTGAGGTGTGCAATGGGAAGCCACATCTCGTACCTGCCCAAGATGGCATTCCCATTGGGGAGGAGGCTTCCAATGCCAAACATTCCCACTGCAATAATGGAAAACCAGAGTCCCTGGACAGAAAATCAGTGGAAGACGAGGACCCTGCTCTCCTAGCCATGTTCCGTACTGTGGCCAACAGCCGTCTGGCTGTCCGGAGCCAACAAAAAGACGAGCCGGATTTCACTCCGTCGCAGAAGCTGGCCATATTGCAGGAACTGTACCACGCCAAGCCCCTGGTCTTCCTGGAGCGCTTCCGAACTGCCCTGCGCGAAGAACACTTACCTTGCTTCCTCCATCTCTCTGGCAGCTATGAGGCAGATTTCTACTGTGCTGAAGTGCGCAGGGCTGGCCTGGGCAAAACACGGCGCACCCGAGTGCGGAACAAGCGCTACGCAGCTCTGCAGCAGCTCATTAAAGGTATGGACACCCAAACTCTTGGGCTGTATTCTGAGTCCCACGAGAGGTATTGAAAGGCTGTTGGCAAGTGGGACAATTGTGGTAATATTGGAAAGTAATGGAATCAAGATGCCTTCACAGTTGTCCCAGTTTTTTGCCATTTGCTGCCCTCCTCGATATCTGTTTATTTGCTTTGCCCATGACTAGGTGGCCAACTCTAGAGCTGGTAACAGCAGCTTGAATTGTACAATCAATCAAGGATGAACTTCATTCTATTCAAATAAGGGGCAGTATAACAATTAAACAATACATCACTTCATATTTTTATACCTAGTATGTCCCACTGTGTTCCATAGAGCTGACTCCCTAATCAATGAGCTTGAAGGTGCAGCTGAAAAAGACTAAAAAGGGAAACGTTGGGGGTTGCTATTTTCTCTTTCTCATAGACCTGATTAGATGCCCATAAGTAAGTCACCCTTTCTCACAGGGCTTCCCAAATTTTGGTCCTCCAAGGGTTTTAGACCTCAACTCTCAGAAGCTCTCACCAGATTGGCCAGCAATCAGGAATTCTGGGAGTTGAAGTCCAAAATAACTGGATGACCAAAGTGTGGGAACCATGCTCAGTGGGGAGGAATGGAGTTGGAGTTCCCAGCACACCTGGAAAGCACCAAGTTGTGCTTTTTTTTTTTTTGTCGTGTCAGGAGCAACCTGAGAAACTGCAAGTCGCTTCTGGTGTGAGAGAATTGGCTGTCTGCAAGGACGTTGCCCAGGGGATGCCCGGATGATTTGATGTTTTTATCATCCTTGTGGGAGGTTTCTCTCATGTCCCCACATGAGGGCCTGGAGCTCATAGAGGGAGCTCATCCGCCTCTCCCTGGATTCGAACCTGTGACCTGTCAGTCTTCAGTCCTGCTGGCACAGGGGTTTAACCCACTGTGCCACCGGGGGCTCCAGTTGTGCTGAGGAAGGCTATTTTAAGAAGTTACAGAGTTAAAACCTCAGCGATGTGCTAAATAGTGGATGATGGATGTTGTGATGCTCCTAGAACTATAGAGTTGGAAGAGATCTCATGGGCCATCCAGTCCAACCCCTTGCCAAGAAGCAGGAAAATCACATTCAAAGCACCCCCAACAGATGGTCATCCAGCCTCTGTTTAAAAGCCTCCAAAGAAAGAGCCTCCACCACACTCTGGGGCAGAGAGTTCCACTGCTGAACGGCTCTCACAGTCAGGAAGTTCTTCCTAATGTTCAGATGGAATCTCCTTTCTTGTACTTTGAAGCCATTGTTCCACTTCCTAGTCTTCAGGGCAGCAGAAAACAAGCTTGCTCCCTCCTCCCTATGACTTCCCCTCACATATTTATACATGGCTATCATGTCTCCTCTCAACCTTCTCTTCTTCAGGTTAAACATGCCCAGCTCTTTAATCCACTCCTCATAGGGCTTGTTTTCCAGACTCTTGATCATTTTAGTCGCCCTCCTCTGGACATATTCCAGCTTGTCAACATCTCCCTTCAATTGTGGTGCCCAGAATTGGACACAGTATTCCAGATGTGGTTTGACCAGAGCAGAATAGAAGGATAGCATGACTTCCCTGGATCTAGACACTAGACTCCTATTGATGCAGGCCAAAAACCCATTGGCTTTTTTTGCCGCCGAATCACATTGTTGGGAAGAAAGGTGACATTCAAACAAACAAATTTGTTGAGCAAATATTTTTTGTCCTTGACCAAATACGACTGGTATATGTGTTAACATTTGCCTGCTATTGTTGTCTGTGTCACAACCATTCTCAGTTCCTCCAGCAAACACATCTGAAATTTTGATATTCTTTAACCCTGTTTTCCTGAGTTTTCAGTCACTTACTTCATGGCCATCTCTCTTTGCGCTTTCTAGGTGGGGAATACTTTAGCGATGAGCAGATGCGCAGCCGGGATCCGCTCCTTTACGAACAGTACATCGGACAGTACCTGAGTGATGAAGAGTTGCAAGCGTTGGGCAGCTGCAAACTGGAGGCGGCCTGCTCCCTCTCGGGTGTCCTCATGGACTCCTATCAGGAGCAGGTCATCCAACAGCGGCTGCTGGTTCAGCAGGAACAGGAAGAGGCATGTGAGGAGGAGGAAGAGGAAGATGACACTGATGATGAGGACAAGGAAGGTTAGTTAAGAGAGAAAGTCACACCGAAGGGTTGGAGGGATGCTGAAGAAGGCTTTTCGGTTCTCCCCTCCCTATTCTGTTTTCAGGGGATTACACGAAACAGACCACCAAATATTACAAATCACTTTCAGTCAAACCGATTTGGGCCCAAGCCTAGCAATAGTATATTATTATTATTATTATTATTATTAGCAGCAGCAGCAGCAGCAGCATCTGTCACAAGCCAGTTAAAGGTAGTTCCAGTGGTGATTGGTACACTGGGTGCAGTGCCTTGGCCAATCAGCGCTGACAAAATTACCATCTGACAGCTGCAAAAGGCCACCCTTCTCAGATCTGCACGCATTATTTGCTGATACATCACACAGTCCTAAACACTCGAGAAGTGTCCAGTGTGTGATGGAATACAAAGCCAGCATAGTGATCTTGTTTGCTGTGTGCTAATCTTGTTGTATATCAAATAATAATTATAATTATAATTATAATTATAATTATAATAATATACTACCATACCATAAACTCTGTATTGGCTTATTAATATTGAAAGAGAGTAATTAAAAGCAAATGAAGACAAAAGATAAACATAACAATGTAATTTGACTTTCTTATCTATATAAGAAAACAAGTAAATAATACGAATATAATCTTACATAATAAAAACTTTCTTAATAATAATCTTTCCTATATTATTATTATTTGAAACATAAAAAAATTAGTACACAGCAAACAAGGTTACTCTGCTGGTTGTTGTATTGGATCACACGTCGGACCCTTCCCAAGTGTCTAGGACTGTGTGATATATCGGCGAATAATGCGTGCAGATCCCAGTAAGGTGGCCTTTTGCAGCTGGCAGATGGTAATTTTGTCAGCGCCGATTGTGTTTAAGTGCAGGCCAAGGTCTTTAGGCACTGCACCCAGTGTGCCTATCACCACTGGGACCACCTTGACTGGCTTGTGCCAGAGTCTTTTTAGTTCAATCTTTAAATCCTCGTATCGTGTCAGCTTTTCCATTTGTTTCTCTTCAATCCTGCTGTCACCTGAAATTGCAACACTGATGATCCATACTTTTAACACAATCATGAGGTCAGGAGTATTGTGCTCCAAAGCGCTATTATTAGTATTATTATTTATTTATTTTACTACCCGCCTCTCCCTGTGGCTTGAGGCAGGGTACAACATCATTACAACAGGAGATAAACAGTATTAAAAAACATACAAGATACACAGAGTTAAAATACAAGTTAATTTTCACTGATGATATGCAACAAAATTGTGGATTTTAAGTAGGTAGAGCATCACTGACTTCCGTGCTGTGTTTCCCTCTGTAGATGAGGCCTCTGACCCAGACAAGGATGAGTGGGTCCCTGACCAAGATGAGAAAATATTACTGCGAGAGGAGTTTACCAGCCGTATGTACCAGCGTTTCCTTGATGGCAAGGATCGGGACTTTGACTACAGGTGAGGTGGGGGCTTGGGAGAAAATTAAGTGAGATTTTGGTTGCCTTCCTGCACATGTTGCCCCAAGCCTCCCCAAATCCAAGCAACAACATCATCATCTCCTTTTTCAGCAGTGAGAAATATTACTTTGGTTTCAGGTTTTTGGTTTCAAGTCTTGCCTTTTTTTCTCGTCTCATTTCTAGACCTTTTCCTATTTGCAGGAACACAGTTGAATCCTCAGGTGTGATGCTACTTCTATAATTTGTGATTTCCCATCGTGGTCAACTGTGAATCGCACATATGGTATTTCCTGCGCCTGCGCAGACAGCTCGGAATCTTCTAGAAAACTTATTAGACACTTTTAGGTGGTAGACACGCCCACTCTCTCCATAGGGTATATAATAATAATAATAACAACAACAACAACAACAACAACAACTTTATTTATGCCCTGCTACCATCTCCCCATGGGACTCAGTGCGGCTTACATGAGGCCGAGCCCACAATACAACAATACAAGCAATATTTTATTTATTTATTATATGCCGCCACTCCCCTGGGGCTCGGAGCAGCTATATATAAGCAATAACAGATACAATACAGAGCAATTAAAATAAATCTCATACACAAAAAGCATAAACATTAAACAGAATACAGTGCACATTTAAAATCTATGGCTGGGCCAAATGTAAATTAAAGTTTAAAAAATAATGCTAGGCATGAACAAGATACAGGAGGTGGGGCGTTGATAGAGACATACAAGCTGTCCTAAATCGATATAAAGTGCTTTTTTGGGGGACATAATGCTAAGGGTTCATTATTCTGGGAAGGCACACTGAAACAACCACGTTTTCAAGCTCCTCCTGAAGACTGCCAGAGATGGGACATGCCTGATGTCCTTAGGGAGTGAGTTCCAGAGTTGAGGGGCCACCACTGAGAAGGCCCTCTCTCTCGTCCCCACCAATCGTGCTTGCGATGCAGGTGGGAGTGTAAGTAGGGCCTCTCCAGATGATCGAAGAGATCGTGTGGTTTCGTATACAGAAATGCGGTCACGCAGGTAGCCAGTGGGAGGGGCGACTGCCTCAGTTCCTTTCATCCGCCGCCATTGCAGCAGTTAAGAAATCTTTCATTTTTGATTAGCATTTCTGGACTGCATTAATTTTTTTACTTCATTTTTTTTATTTTATTTTTATTATTGTTATTACCTTTAATTTTCATGGTTACGGTATGTTGACTACCACTTTCTTTCCAAAGTGTCCCTGTCGTGAGGTCAAAAGCTGCCTGATGGGCGCTCTGTGTCTGTGGTGCCTGGGGGAGGCCTTGGGGGTATGATTATGCACCCTCTGCCCCTTGTTTCACCCCCATCCCAGGCATGAGACAGTTGAATCCTCAGGTGTGAAGCTACATCTATAATTTGTGATTCGAAGGTGTCCCTGGATGTAACCCCTTGCATATTGTCCCTTCCTCTCTTCCCCATTTTCCCCATCTCTTTGACCCACAGCGAGGTAGATGAGAACCCAGATTTTGACAACCTGGACATCGTATCGCGGGATGAAGAAGAGCGGTACTTTGATAGAGAAGACCCGGAAGAGGCTGATGCTATGGAAGCAGAGTAGATGAGTCTGAGAACTTGAGCCCAAGAAATAGGTGAGGTCCCCTGAAGGTGGAGATAAGAGGACATGTGTTTGTTATTCACCCTTCTGTGTGGAAGATTTTTCATGCTAAATTGGGTGAATTGACAGAGCAGCTTTGAGCTGGAATGCTGTTGAGCTCTGAGATTGAGTGTCCACACTCGAAGTTATCCATGTGGCCCTTCCCAGCTCCTTCCTAATCGCTAATAGGAGAAGATGGCTGAGAAAGGGAGCCTATATCCTCAGGATTGGACAATTGCACTGTGGATTGAAGCACAGTTTCTTCTATAATGGCTGAACCTTTGAATCCTTCCAATCCTAGGGTTTGGTTTTGTCTTCACGCCTGCAGTTCCCCCCTGAATTGTCTTATTTGGCTCTCTCTAGTGTGGACTACCTATGAGCAGAATGTTTCTCATAACAAAAAATGTTTCTGAGTTGTTTTTGCCATGATGTTGTGATTTAAGCTGTTGGAGGCTGTAAAATAAATTATCTTTTCTCTTTTGAGTAATTTTTGGCGTCATTAAGAGGTCTTGTTTAAATCTAGAAGGAACTCTGCCAGTTATCAGAGTGGTTGCCAGAATCTTGGTTGTTTGATGTTTAACTGCAACCCAGTTTTTGCCCTTTCTTCTTTCACCTTGGTTAGAAGGCTCCTCAGCTCCTCCTCGCTTTCAGCCATCAAAGTGGTATCATCTGCATATCTAAGGTTGTTAAACATTTTGTCCAGCAATTTTAACTCCAGCCTTGGATTCCTCAAGCCTCGCATGTTGCATGATGTGTTCTACATACAAATTGAATAGGTTGGGTGAGAGTATACAGTCCTGCTGCAGTCCTTTCCCAATCTTCAACCACTCTGTTCTTACTGTTGCTACTTGGTCGTTATACAGATTCCTCAGGAGACAGACAAGGTGGCTTGGTATCCCCATACCACCAAGAACTTGCCACAATTTATTATGCCTGCTACAAAACAGGAGCTTTTTTGTTGAGGTCCAGGGCCAGAGAAGCAGATGGCGGAAACAGAAGAACGGCCTGCCTCAGGGGAGCGTGCTTGCTCCATCCATGTTCAACATCTACACAAATGACCAGCCACTGCCAGAAGGGACAGAGAGTTTCATCTATGCTGATGATCGTGCCATTACTGCTCAAGCAGGGAGCTTTGAGATGGTTGAACAGAAGCGCTCCGAAGCTCTAGGTGCTCTTACTGCCTATTACAGGGAAAACCAGCTGATCCCTAACCCATCTAAAACACAGACATGTGCCTTTCACCTTAAGAACAGACAAGCATCCCGAGCTCTGAGGATGACCTGGGAAGGAATCCCACTGGAGCATTGCAGCACACCCAAATACCTGGGAGTCACTCTGGACCGTGCTCTTACCTACAAGAAGCACTGCCTGAACATCAAGCAAAAAGTGGGTGCTAGAAACAATATCATACGAAAGCTGACTGGCACAACCTGGGGATCACAACCAGACACAGTGAAGACATCTGCCCTTGTGCTATGCTACTCTGCTGCTGAGTACGCATGCCCAGTCTGGAACACATCTCATCACACTAAAACAGTAGATGCTGCATTATCACGGGGTGTCTGCGCCCTACACCACTGGAGAAATTGCACTGCTTAGCCGGTATTGTACCACCTGACATCCGCCAGGAAGTAGCAGCCAATAGTGAAAGGACCAAGGCAGAGACATCTCCAGCTCATCCCCTGTTTGGGTATCAGCCAGCACGTCAACGACTTAAATCAAGAAATAGTTTTCTAAGATCTACAGAGACACTCGCTGGAACACCTCAGCAAGCGAGAGTCCAAAAGTGGCAGGCTCAAACCCAGAACCTCAATCCATGGCTGATACCAAATGAGAGACTCCCCCCTGGGCACACAGAACTGGGCGACTTGGAAGGCGCTGAACAGACTGCGCTCTGGCACCACAAGATGCAGAGCCAACCTCAAGAAATGGGGCCACAAAGTGGAATCCACGACATGCGAGTGTGGAGAAGAGAAACCACTGACCACCTGCTGCAATGCAACCTGATCCCTGCCACATGCACAATGGAGGACCTTCTTGCGGCAACACCAGAGGCACTCCAAGTGGCCAGATACTGGTCAAAGGACATTTAATCAACTACCAAACTCACAAATTTTGTATTTTGTCTGTTTGTTTTGTTCTGTTAGAAATGTAATACAATTGACTGATTGCCCTGACACGACAAATAAATAAATAAATTTATTATGATCCCACACAGTCAAAAGGCTTTTGTATTGTGAGATTGACACTCAGCGCCTTGGAAAAGACAGATTGATACCCACAAAAGATCACGCTGACATTAATCAGTCTCAGAGATGCTATGAAGTTCCTTCCTGCACAATCTCCCATTTGCCACCTTATGCTGTTGCTTTCCTTGCCCAACCAAGGCCAGCAGGGGGCAGCAGATACCAAGTAAACTTGGGCAGGCTTTTTCCTGGTTTCTCTGTCCATCTGATGCTGAGTGAGTAAAGAAATGGGAACAGTCCTAGAAACAAGCTCTCTTCCAGTTCTCTTTTCCAAGCAGAGTGATGTTGAATCTTGAGTGTCTGACCATAATGGGTTGCGTTTTGGACTTCAACTCCCAGAATTCCTAACAGCCCCGGGCCCTTTCCTTTTCCCCCTCAGCCTTCAGTAATTTTGCTACTGTTATGAACCGTAATGTAAATATCTGACATGCAGAATGTATTTACATTCTCTACCAAATTTGGCACAAATACCGGTGCCCAAATTTGAATACTGGTGGGGTTGGGGGGGGGGTATTGATTTTGTCATTTGGGAGTCGTAGTTGCTGGGATTTATAGTTCACCTACAATCAAAGAGCATTCTGAACTCCACCAATGATGGAATGGAACCAAACTTGGCACACAAAACTCCCATGACCAACAGAAAATACTGGAAGGGTTTGGTGGGCATTGACCTTGAGTTTTGGAGTTGTAGTTCACCTACATCCAGAGAGCACTGTGGACTCAAACAATGATGGATCTGGACCAAACTTGGCATGAATACTCAATATGCCCAAATGTGAACACTGATAGAGTATGGGGAAAATAGACCTTGACATTTGGGAGTTGTAGTTGCTGGGATTTATAGTTCACCTGCAATCAAAGAGCATTCTGAACTCCACAATGATGGAATTGAACCAAACTTGGCACACAGAACTCCCATGACCAACAGAAAATACTGGAAGGGTTTGGTGGGCATTGACCTTGAGTTTTGGAGTTGTAGTTCACCTACATCCAGAGAGCACTGTGGACTCAAACAATGATGAATCTGGACCAAACTTGGCACAAATACTCAATATGCCCAAATGTGAACACTGGTGGAGTTTGGGGAAAATAGACCTTGACATTTGGGAGTTGTAGTTGCTGGGATTTATAGTTCACTTACAATCAAAGAGCATTCTGAACTCCACCAACGATAGAATTGGGCCAAATTTCCCATGCCTTGAAGGGACTCTCTGGCACGAGCCTCCCTCCAGGTTCACACACTCTCCCTCGCCCGTACATGCACACCATGCTGCCACGCACCGAGCACCCCTGTTCTCCCCTCCCCACTTGGAATCCCAGAAACAAACCTCCCATTGGCTGAGAGGCCAGTGAATCACAGTAGGAGGAGGACTTTTGGTGGGAGGATTTGCTGTCTTGTTTCCAAAAAGGAAGAGAAGGACAGGCGGAGAGATCTCCAGCCTTCGCTGCCAAAGAGAACTATGTTTTCTGATGGTCTTCAGTGACCCCTCTGAAACCCCCTTACGACCCCCGGGTTGAGAAATGCTGATCTAGTGGGATGTTTAGCAGTTGATGAAGTTCTGTATGTGTGGGGTGTATATACAGTTAGGATGTATATGTGCAGGCATGCCGCTGTTGCCCATTGATGTTGTCATACTTGGTTTAAATAGAGGTGAATGGCAGTTTCCAGAAGGTTTTCAGAAATAAATGAGATCTGATCGGTTTGGTAAAAAAAAATTGGAGCTGAATTTGGCCTGCCTCAATAGGAGCATAGTGTCTAGATCTAGGGAAGTAATGCTACCCCTCTATTCTGCTTTGGTTAGACCACACCTGGAATATTGTGTCCAATTCTGGGCACCACAATTCAAGAGAGATATTGACAAGCTGGAATGTGTCCAGAGGAGGATGACTAAAATGATCAAGGGTCTGGAGAACAAGCCCTATGAGGAGCGGCTTAAGGAGCTGGACATGTTTAGCCTGAAGAAGAGAAGGCTGAGGGGAGATATGATAGCCATGTATAAATATGTGAGAGGAAGCCACAGGGAGGAGGGAGCAAGCTTGTTTTCTGCTTCCTTGGAGACTAGGACACGAAACAATGGCTTCAAACTACAAGAAAGGAGATTCCATCTGAACATGAGGAAGAACTTCCTGACTGTGAGAGCCATTCAGCAGTGGAACTCTCTGCCCCGGAGTGTGGTGGAGGCTCCTTCTTTGGAAGCTTTTAAACAGAGGCTGGATGGCCATCTGTCAGGGGTGATTTGAATGCAATATTCCTGCTTCTTGGCAGGGGGTTGGACTGGATGGCCCACGAGGTCTCTTCCAACTCTTTGATTCTTTGATTCTATGAATCAAGACGTAAGAGCAGGGGTCCTCAAACTAAGGCCAGATACGGCCCTCCAAGGTCATTTACCCGGCCCTCGCTCAGGGTCAACTTAGGTCTGAAACGACTTGAAAGCACATGACAACAATCCTATCTCATCAGCCAAAAGCAGGTCCACACTTCCCATTGAAATACTAATAAGTTTATATTTGTTAAAATTGTTCATTTTAACTATTGTATTGTTTTTAAATGATTTTTGCACCACAAACAAGATATGTGCAGTGTGCATAGGAATTCATTCATTTTTTTTTTCAAATTATAATCCGGCCCTCCAACCGTTTGAGGCCGTCTAATTAAAAAGTTTGTGGACCCCTGTGTAAGAGTGTCTGAATGGCAACAATTTTAGTAGCTGAGGGCTCTTACCCCCATGTCAGGATCTCCATTATTTCCCAGCCCAACTTCCTCCCCTGAGAGTTGACTAGATTCTGGCCGGGCGGGGGGAGGGAAGGTTCCAGAGGAAGGGGGTGCTATCCGAGTCGTGTGGGGAAGGAGATTTGCGGTCCATAAACATCCCAGGGAGAAGCGTAACAGAGTCCTTGCGACCCTGGAAAAGGTGGGTAGTGGTAGGCTCCTTGGCAGCCCCCTTGGTCTTAAGGTCTTGTTGATCAATGCCAGATCCGTAAATGATAAGACCGCAGCCATCCAGGACTTGATCCTGGATGAGAGGGCGGATCTGGCATGCATTACCGAGACCTGGTTGGACGAGGTGGGAGGTGTAAACCTTTCCCAGCTGTGTCCCCCAGGTTTCGGAGTGCATCAACAGGCCAGACAAGGGGGGCGGGGAGGAGGGGTCGCAGTGGTCTTCCGGCAATCCATCGCCGTGACCAGATGCGTTGTC